AAGCTTTGAACTGGAGGCCGCTGCCCTAACCATCCTGTCCCCATCCGTGCCCCGCTGGGCAGGGATCCGGCCGTTCCGCTGCGGGTCGTGTGGCAAAGCATTTACGCAGCGCTGCTCGCTGGAAGCGCACCTCGCCAAGGTGCACGGGCAGCCGGCCAGCTACGCTTATCGTGAGCGCCGCGAGAAGCTGCACGTGTGCGAGGACTGCGGCTTCACCAGCTCCCGCCCCGACGCCTACGCGCAGCACCGCGCCCTGCACCGCGCGGCCTGAGACGGGGCGCCCGGTGTCCTCCACGTGAGAGGCAAATAAACACACGAAACAAACTCACAGAAATCGGCTCGTTTATCACACACGGGCGAGCGATCACTCAGTCCAGCGGTGACCGCAGTGTGGGGCCGTGCACACGTAGTAGAGGCGCATGGCGTCCTGGAGGGAAGGGCTCACAGTCAGGGAAGTCTAGACTCACGGAGGACAGACCACACAACTCCCTATCCAGTAACGCCTCCTCGCAAAACATCAGACGACAGGGTTCTCCACACTGGTAAAGGTCCGCCCAGGAGGCCTGCGTGGAAGGCGCTCCACCCAAGACTGGTATCCCGGTCCAGGGGAACGACCAAGCCCCGAACAGGATTCCTGTCTTGCCACTCACCTCGGCCCGCGCACTGTGTGACTGGAAAAACACCGCTTCCTTGTGGCCGCACCTGAAGGGACAGCTTTACCTCTCAGCGCCCGTCGCCCCTTCCCTCCTCCCTTCCCGGCCGGTGAGGACGCGCCCCCCGGCTTCCCCAACCCCAGGGGCGCACCCACTTCTGGCACGGGTGGTCCTCGGTCCGCGGCAGTGTGGGGTCCTGGGACACGTCAGCGATGATCTGGGTCAGCTCGCTGCGGAAGGACAGGGGAAGAGACTCAGGCCCGGCCTCCCAGGCCAAAAGCCCCGGGGCTCTCCCTGCAGCTCCGGCCCCGCCACTCACTCCACTTCGTGCGTGATCTTGTTGACGTAGATGCAGCTGTTGTCGGCTTCCTGCTGGTAATCACAGTTCCGGCACTGCGAGACAGCGAGCGGGGCGGGAAGGAGGGGTGATGGCGGGACACCCGGCGGAACGGCCACGAGAGCAGCGCCTTCCCCAGACGGAGCCAGGGTCACCGCGGGGATGGACAGGGGAGTCGGGTTCACGTGCAGGATGGTTGGGAAGCGAGACCAG